ATAATTAATTTGTTGTCTAAAATGAAAATAAATATTTTGCTTTCAAATAGTTTAGACCAAGTTTTATTTATTTGAATTTATTTCTTTTACTTAGGAGTGCAATCGAGCCTAGCCGGCTCAAGCTAGGCTCATTAACAAGCTCGCAAGTCGAGTTTATCGAGCTCGTAAGTCGTGCTCATGTGTCGACCTTGAACAGAATTCTGAGCTCGTTGTTTTATCGAGCTCAAGCTCTGTCCAACCAAAGCACGGCTCGATTACTCGTGAGCCGGCTCGGATGTGTTACATAATGGCGGGCGGGCTCGAACGAAATATCTGGCGAGAAGGAGGGATTGCATAGTTGGAGTGCTCGAACACCAGTAGGAAGCCGGGATTGCAACGCGGGAAGGCGGGATCACACCTTGCCTTCTGAACTCGACTCGAGTTTGAGCTTGATATTTGGCTTGCGAGTCAAGCTTGAATTAAACCTGACTTGATCTCAACTCGTTTGCACCCCTACTTTGCCTTATCTTTTTATAGTATAATTTTTTTCTTATCCCATTTTTATCAAAATATTTTGATTCAATACTAATTAATTTATATCTCTACAAAATACAACAGGTCAAAAAAGTGACTTTTAATATAAAAATTGATTATATTTCAAGTTGACAAAAAATTGATTTAATATAAAAAGATTTATCTCTACAAAATGCATATGATCAAAATATTCTACTAATCCTATTTCAAGTTGGCTAAAAATTAGTATACATAAATTTTTCATTTTTTTTTAATTATGAATAAGCTTACTAAAAATAAGTTTAAAATGTACAATTAAAAAGTTAATATTAACATAAAATTAAAATATGGTCAAAGTAAATAACTATAATTAAAATTATTAAATTGTTATGCAAAATATTATAGTGTCAGAAAATAAATGACATTCAATTTTCTTTGTTTTTTAATCACAAATTTTAATAAAATATATAAATTTATACCTAACAAATAAACAAAAAATCGTCTCAATTAGGCATATTCGAATGGTAAACTTTTTCCTTATAGTCTTAACTATTCGTGAATTAATTTGCCAAATAGAAAATATAATTTATTAATTAATGAAAAACTTTCTACTAAATTGGATTTAGTTGATCTTGAGATTTCCTAATATGATTAAGATTACTCGGATGGTTAGACCTCAATTTTTATTAGTGGTAGTGCTGTGTGGAAATTGGTTGTGTCAATCAATCTAGTTGTATTGTTCACTCAAATCTCAATTTCATCAATGATATATTTTCTTATAAAATTCATAGTCGAATAAATATTATCAAAATATGCATAGTATATTAAACGCAATAAAATAATTTTTTTAAATAGCTTTTTTAAAGGCAATTTTTTTGAAATAACAATATAAAAATTGGTATTTCAAATGCTCATTATTTTCTTAGTAACTTTTTTTTTACCAAAAAAAATAGTTAAAAAAAAAAACATTCCAAATGAAGCCTAACATTCAATTCAAATGACAAAAGAATTTTAAGAAAAAATATATTGTTAAGGATATTATAAAAAAATCACTTTTAAGTAAATATTGTTGTTATTTTCTCATAACAAAACATATTCTCTCATCATCATCCGTATAATCATTGTTATTTGTAATTATTAAATTGATATATATGTGTGTTGGCATAATTTGAACGGGGTGTGTTGTTTGAGTTTGTTGTCAAGTAATTAGCTGAAATAGAAAACAAGTAATTTCTTAATCTTCTCTCATCTTCTTTTTAACTTAATTAATCTCTTTCATAATATTCACTTTTCTCTAGCTTTAAAAAGCCTTCTTAATGGGACAAATATTATAATGATAAAATCATGCAGCTATTCGCAATCTGATGGCTTAGGGCTTCCACATCTCTCACACAGTATGTGTTTTATAGGGCTTTACACTGACTTTCGATAACATTTACTCAATTACTCTCTGAAATTGTCAAATTAGTTCTTCCTTTGATCGATATGTCGACAACGAGGATGCTCAAGCCGCTTACAGGAGCCATCGTTGATCCGGCATTTGGTTGATTGTATTTTTTAAAATAATCCGAGAAGTTTGAGTCTACAAATGTTTGCTTAGGTTGAAAGACATTTGATCCTCAAATTACCACTAAATATTCTCGATCGGTTATACTTATAAGTACTTAATTTAGACTTATTTGGACTCAAATCAAACTATATATGTTTGACATTGTTGGGCTATTCTTGTCAAATTAATTATCTTGATTGTATTTTTTAAAATATGGTTCAATTGTTCTCCATAAAAATTAAAAATCCTCAAAATTTCTAGCTCTGATTTCAGAGGAGTGTCAAAATCGGGTTGCAGGTCCTATTCGGGTCGAACATGATATTGATTCGCCATTGGTTAACATGATCTGAGCCAAACCCGTTTTTACAGATGGGTCATAAATGTCAGCTCGAACCTGAGCTGTCGGGTTTCCTTGTTATGTTTGCAATGAGCGAGCATTTAGCGTCATTGTTGTTATTTATGTTCCAACTACGGTGAGCTGACGTGACTTCCGAGACGACATGAAGGAACTGTCACGACCCGACCCGACGGGGACGGATCCCGCCCGAGCCGGATCGCGACAGAACATTCTTATCCAGGATCTAGCTTTGGAATTTGGTTCTGATCTGAATCTTCCAAAAATAATTAACTCAACAGACACACAAACACAGAACAACAGAGCTACTATAAGTCACCAAATGCAGCGGAACAAACATCTATATTTTCTTTCTTTCCTCAAAACAATCATCTACAAATACGGTACATGGCTAGCAGAATAAACACAGAAGAAAAGCCATGACCGTACAAAAATCAAAAGTAAAACAATACCTACGGATCAGACTCTGAACTATTTTGCTTTAAATTGTATCATAATATCCTGAGACTTTCTTTTTAATCTTATTTCGTTATCATTTCGGTACATTTGTTATGTTTTTCCCACTATTTTGCAGTAAAAAATATATACTCAGATGTTTGTTTAGTATATGACACAACATGCCAATATTCTTCCTAAACATAGGATAAACAGACATATTTTACCGTCTATAAAATCGGGTCCCTCACTCACATAAAATTATTAGGTCCGGACACCGGACCTAGAAATAGGTATGAATATCCAATTAAATTTTGACACGTGGACTGTATTTTGACTGTGCTTTTTTGAATGCGCTTTTATTGTGCTTTTAGACTGCGCTTTACCTGCGCTATTGACACGCTTGGCTTAAAATTCCGAGGACACGAGTACATTTCATATGTCAATATTTTATTGGAGACTGGACCTATTTTTAGGTCGGTGTCTGGACCTAATAATTTTCCCCAGACTTGTTGACCCGCGCACGGAGGATTCAATGATTCACATTCGGACTCAGCCCACAGCACCTGCAAAATCCGGGTTTGGGGTCGGGCTCGAGTTGAAAAATCTGACTCATTTGTAAAATCGGGTATGATTAGAGTCAACACATTTGAACACTATCATCTTGAGGGGGGGGGGATCCAAACCCGACCCGTTGACTCATTTTAACACCCCTACAAACTAGCATAGAGAGAGAGAAATAGCATAAGACAATTTTAGGAAATATTTTTTAAAAATAATTTTTTATTTTCTTTTTTTAACACAATTTTAGGAAAGATGGTTGTCACTAAGAAAGTGGATTTCTTCTGCGGCCTTCCTTCAATGGAAAATAAAATACCCGTTGGACTTTAGTTTGACAGTTTTTCTCCTATTTTCTTAATAACCTTAAGAGAGAGAGAAAATAAAATTTTATCTCCCATGTTTCATATCTGTCAGAATTAACTATTAATATATCACAGATTATTGTTAAAATATGAATTGCAATGGCATTTTTTTTTCCAATAATTTGAGCTAAATTAAAAGATTTTTTATTTTTTATAGTTGGCTCAAAGTAATACTTTAATTCATTGAAATTTAAATAAAAATATCTCAAAAAAATATATTTTATCAAATAAGAATTTTAATCTATATTTATAAAGATTTCATTTTAAAATTAATTTCGGCATCTTCCGAAAAGTATTTTGTATTCCCCTTCTGTCGTCCAGCTTCTTAGGAATTTTTTTTAAAAAGAAGCGCACTAATAATTAAAATTATGAGGTGCATTGTTAAAAAAAATTTAAAGGAGCAAAATCGATAAATTGGTTGGCGTAATTTAGATTTGTGAAGAAAATGTCAAAACATTTGGTTATTTCCACAAAACTAGACAATTAGCCAAAATTTTTAGCCTATTCCCCTCACCTCATTAGCATAAATCTAGATTACGTCAATCAATTTAGATATATTTTTTTAACAATGCTCATTTTCATAATTTCAATTTGTAGTATGCCGCTTTTTAAAAAAAATGTGATTTACATAATACCACTTTATAAAAGCTATATTACATATCTAACACCCTAAACTTAAATATTTCATTTCTACTATCCAAACCTCAATTAAACTACAAAAATACCACACCTTCTCTACCAAGCACACGACATTACTCCCTCCCGCTAAAATCCCCAGTCTCGCGAACTCCTGACCTAGTGTGCTTTTCCTTCCAACGGTGATTTTCAAAGAACGAACAAGCACATTTCCTCTACTTCTTGTCGACCTTCTCTCCGTAAATGTTGTAGTTTGTGTTGTATATTCCCTCACAAGTTAAATTGCAGTTAAGTATATTGAAGTCATTCACTTTTCTAGCCCTAATTTTCGAATGTCTAGTTTCAAAAATAGCTTGATTTGGTATTTTGTATACAACATTGACAAATCTTCTGCAGTTTGAAATGATTTCAACAAACTCGTCCTTCACGAAAACCAGAGGTCAATATTCTCAAGTTTACTGCCACTATCATCTGAATTGTTCTGTATGCACATACTACCGTGGATCTAATAGTGGAAGACAATTTTATAGCCGCATTCATAATCGAACCAAAAAAGACTGCAATTACTTCAAATGGATAAAAGAAGTAGAAGAGATTTCTTATACCACATTTCCTCTATTTTATTTAACTTTTATGTGTTAAATAAGTAATAGGCCACTTTTATACTGGTATCCCTTTTAAAAAATTGCCCAGCCTCTTACCTGTCGAATTCCGGAGAGATCGCGCCGCCGCTCTCTAAATTCGCCGCCGCCTCCGACTGCTACGGAAGGAGCAGATCTAGGATCGAGGCGCTGAACAAATTAATTCATCCTTTGCGCTTTCAAGTTCGGTTCCTCCTCGTTCTCGCATTGCCTATTTCTCTATTATTTCATCCCCATGAATGAAACCCTAAGCTTCTCTGTCCCGGACCGAAATTTGTTTACTCTAATTCATATCATTATTTTGTTCCTCTTGATTTTCGTTTTTTTTTAAATATAATGAGAGGAGTTATCGTATTTAGAAGTAGTGCAGCGAGTTGATTTCTTCGCCTTATTATGAAGATTGGATTTCTCCTTTTGGTAAATTTGCCGCCGAAATGAGGTTGTCGCGATTGGTTTTCTGCCCTTTTTGGATAAAGTTGCAGTCTTGTGATCAATAACCATTTTTGGATTTTCTTTTTTATGTTTGGGTTGGTGCTCCCTATCTTTCATGTCTGGTAGCTAAATAATCGTTGTAAGGGTCATTTCTCTGTTGCATTGCGAAGAAAAAAATCCGTGGTAACTTTATGATATGGTAAATTAAGACTAAATATGAAAGTTTTTGGTTTAATGGCTGTTGTATGAGAAAATTAGCTGTATATCCAATAAACAAGAGAAAAACAATAGAAAAAGATAGTTGAATCAGTACCTTAGCTAGTCCTTCTATGTTCCATAAGTCAATAAACATGCAGGTGTTGTCGTCCCTGTTGAAATTTCAAAAAGAGAGGAAATGTGGTAGAGAAATGTTGGCAGGAAGTGATGGTGGGGCTGATAACTTTGTGGAAGGAAAGTGTGTTAGGGGTGTTAAACTGTGCTGATGTTTTAGTTAAAGATCCAATCTGAAACTTCATGACTTGTTTTAGTTGTTTAAGATAGGCCCAAACTTGTCCAGTTTGATTTACAATGCATGACATGTCACGAGTTCACGCCAACATGATCCTACACAAGTTGGATTGAATCACATAAACAAAGAGTGGGGGAGCATAGTTGTATAGGGTTAGGCCAAGGTATTATTGCCACTTTAAAAGGGAGGGAGAATTGGAAGGAATAGAGGGATAGAGGGAGAGAGAGAGAGAGAGAGAGAGTAGATTGGCGGTATTTTTAGTTGCCAAGGATCATCTCTCTCCAATTGAAGTAGGTTGGAGAAAAGAAGTAGTTTGAAAGATTGCTATTGATAATATCGTTTGTTAAGACTTAATCATTGGTGTCTGATTTTTCCACACAACTGATTACTTGCTTGTTAATCAGCTTCATTGCATGATGCTAACTTCCCGGTGTTTTGACTTTTACTTATCATTGTCTATTCACTTATATTTCCACAATTGTCTTTTATCTTAGATGCTCTCACTCTAAGTAGTTGACCAATGAGCAACACAGGTTAACTCCTTTTTTTTTAGTCATATTCAAGTTGATGTGTTTGGTCAAAACTCGAAACTGGTAAAGAATGATGTATCAAACTTGATGGCCTAATGGGCCGATCTAAGCATATAGAGAGCTATTTCAAAACTTTCAGTCTAGCATAATATCTGACATAACTTATCATAATCTTCTAGAATCTCTTAGATTTAGTTTTCCTTTAAATTACCAAACTTTTTTATTCAGGCCACATGCTAACAAACAGTTCTAAAGCTTTTTTTGGTCAATCTTGATCCCTAAGGCTTGCAGAGAATGGGCATCATGTAAACCATTATATTGTCACCCATCTAATGAATAAAAAATAATAAGTCAAATAAAATGTTAATATGTCAAATCTAATGAAGATTCATAATACAATTCATAATCTGAATAACATATTAGTCTCATTAGCTTATACACTTTAAGAAGGCTTTTGTATCAATATGGGATATTCAAAAGCCATGGAAATACGTCACAATGCTTGAAGGTGTGGTCAATGTTGTTAATTAAGAAGCACTTGTTAGATAGGCTTGGATGCACTTTGGCATAATTTAGGCGCACTACTATTGAAGCAAAATGCATCCACACTTGCTTCTCTAGTTTTTTGTACTACATAATTATATTCCTCGTTATAGAATCTGCTTGTTGCATTTATTGATTTTTATGTTTTGTATTATTTATATCATTCACATTGTTGCTTGTATTTTCTTATTTGTATTGAATTACTAATAAAAATCATATTTTTATAGTTTTATGCAAAAAATAATATGTATGATACTGACAAAAATATGATATATATGATATTGTAAACTTGCTTGATGTATAGCTTTTATAAAGGTATTCTTCTTCAACATATTTTCTCTACACGTATGTCTCATGTTAGTGCCCATATTTCATAGCTATTAATTGATCATATCATGATTCATGGTGTCTAATAATCAAAGTGTGATTAATCTGGTTCAAAAAATAGAAAATCAAGGTAAAAATAAGTTCTTGAAAATAGTGGGAAATCACTTCACTATCAAATAATCAAATTTATTTTATACTAAAAATTTTAATGTGAGGAAGGATTTCATTTAAGAACCATTATTGAAAAGCATAAAAATAATAATGAAGATGCATTCCTATACTTTTTTTTAACCTATAAAAGGCATATGAGTAAGCATGATACAAAATTTGCCGGTGGTTTTTTAAGAGGGTAGGCTACTTGAAATGTTATGTGAAATGCGATTGGATATGCATGAAGAAGTAAATAGATGATGAAAAAAAAAAAGCATATCATGACATAATCGCTCTTCATCGTCTCCCTCTTTACCATTATGCATGAGATTCTAATAAGATGTGTAGGTGACAATGGTCTTACTTAGTCCTTGGTCATACAAATGTTTATGGGTAAGTGGATGATTACCTTTGTTGAGGGAGGTTTTGGAATATGTTCAGCTTCTCTACAAAGAGGGATCGTTATGAGGGAGGAGTAGAGGGGAAGAAAAGGGAGAGGGGAATAGAGGAGCTAAGAAGGGGAAGGGAGAGAAGGCCTGCTAAGCAACAAGCGAGGAAAGAGAGAGGAGGGTAGAAGGTGTGATGACTAAGTGGTAACATTAGCACATTAATAAATCTTAGTTGCAAGAGCGGTAGAAGTTGCTAGGAAGGAATGATAGTCTTTTCAAGTAAGTGGGACTATTGGGAAGATAAAAGTTGTGGTAGTGTAAGGGCATGCTAGCTTAGTTCAAATGGAAGGAGTAGGTGGTCTAGGAGGGTAGATTGGGATACAATTGAAGTTCATAGATTTGGAGGTGATGATAGGGTTGTTTGGGTCAAAGGGTAGCTGAGGTTGATAATTCAGTGGGATGATTTGAGTTTTTGGGATTGCTAGGGTAGATTGGGCTTGTGGTTTGGAGTGGTCTAGAAGGATTGATGTTGTTAGTAGGGTTGCAAAGATTAGTAGGGTAGTTTTAGCTTATTGGTATTTGGGGGACTATTAAATATGTAAGTGTAGGCGGGATTTAGGGATGTGGAGGGGCTAGTGGGAATAGAGGGGGTTATTGGTTGGTAAACTTTAGTGGGTTCGAAGGTGCTTGTCTTTTGATCAACATATCAATCAAGCTTGTGTAATATTTTATAAAAGAGATTTTGGTGGTATCCTTGCAGGATGCATTGTTCTAGTATATGGATTATTAGATTTAGTAATATGAGACTGGTAGCCAATTTGCTGTTTGTCTTCGAGATTATAGCCTATAGCAATTTTTTTTTTTAAATTTTTTTAATTTTTTTGAAGTATCATGCTTCCCTTCTTCTATGATTTGTTTTTTGCCACTAAAGTATTGATACCATTATCTATCCTATCCATGGAACGGCCATCGCTAGTTCCAACTTCCTTTTTATATTTTCTCCATCAATCAGGATTTTGAAGTAGCTAGTTGTGCTAAATATTTCTATGTGAAATAGTATCAAAGCACGTCACTAGTTTGAATCCTTATTGGCATAACTGGGCATCTAAGTGTGAGATAAAAATGAATTGTCAAGCGGACAATATAAAATTGTTGCTTCTTGCTATTCATAATTGATGATCTGAGTCATGAACCTTGATTTGACCACAATTAGCATTTGAGTTATTGGTGGCGTGGATTCAATGCACTCATTAGGTTTGTGAGTGGTTAGACCTTTGATTATAAAGACTCGGTTGCACCTTCTCCTTTATTTTAGTCTTTTAAAGAATTTATCTTGGGCATTGAGCTAATTTAATCACAAACTCGTGCCATATTATGCGTAGACATGTTTTTGAGAAAGAGAGCACATAAGAGTGTTTGATCTGCCTAAGTAATTGTGGAGTTAAATAATGTGGAACCAAAACTTATGGCTTTTCTTGATGATGCTAACCAAGTATAAGGTGATTTTGTAGATATTTGTTCTGATAAACTTAATAAATTATCAATATTGAGAGATTTACAAAATGCTATTAATTTAGCTAATGAATCACAATTGTCTAATTTACCTCATTATAAGATGAAACTAACAAAACATGCTAGCCTTAAAAGATAAGTTAATGATTTACTAAAGAATGGATTTATTAGAGAAAGCATGATTCATTACGATGTACTAGCATTGCTTACACCTAAAAAAGATAGTAGTTGAGGTATATATATAGATAGTAGGGTCATTAATAAAGCCACAATTAAATATAGATTTCTATAACTCATTTGGATGATATGTTAGATATGATGAATGGTGCTATGATATTTTCTAATATTGAATTAGGAAGTGTCCATCATCAAAGTAAAATTGAGGGAAGATAAATAAAGAAAAAAATATTTTTAAAACTAAGGTTGGATTAGTAACATATAATAATGCCTTTTGGATTAATCGATGCACCCCTCAAATTTAAGGGAAAATTCTGTAAGATAGTGGTGAGACCTGCAATGCTTTATGAAGCAGAATGTTGGCCACTAAAAGAGAAGCATAAAATTAAGTTAAGTGTTGCAGAGAAGAGGATGCTTTTGCAGATCAGCTCTCCCACAGTCCCTAGGCGCCGCTAGGAACAACTCGAAAGAAAAACTACAGCAAACACAATCATATAATGAAAATAAAACCACCCAATTAACACTAATATAAATCTTCCAACTCCCTCTGAAATCTAAATCCAAATTAACCATCTTTCCCTCAATAAATATTTCCTAATTCTCTCCCAATCAAAT